TTCCTTTTGGGTTATCTTTTACTTATGTTTCTATAGAAGTCATTATATATTCAGATATTAATCTTTTTTTCATTATATGTGTGGCAAATATAATTTTCCAGATTGTAGTTCATTTTTTTATTTTCCTTATGGTGTCATTTAATAAATAGTTCTTATTTTCTATGTAAAAAAAACATTAAAAATATATAATAAAAAGGCTAAAATATAACTCTAGAAAATGTTGATTGAACACAAAAGACTATAGTGAGGGAGAAACAAAAGGGAAAAAGACATGAGTCATATAGAATACAGCAATATGGTAGGCATAAATCAAACCATATCAATTATAAGTATAAATGCATTACTTACACCAATAAAAAGGTAGAGATTATAAGGCTAGATTTGTTTGAAAGAACAAAATCCAACTATATGCTGTCAACAAGAGTCACAGTAAATTCACAGTTGCAAAATGGTTGAAAAGGAAATGCTGGAGAAAGATAATCCATGCAAACAATTACCATAAGAGAATTGGAACTAGATATAATCAGACAAAGTAAACTGTCAGGGAAAAAAAATGAGACCAAAAAAGACATGCTATAATAGTAAAAGAATCAATGATCAGGAGGACATAGCAGGTATGTACATATATACACCTAAAATCTAAGTCCCAAAATACTTAGAGCCAAAATGATAGAATTTAAAGAAGAAATGATCAATTCAACAATAAGAGCTGGAAACTTCAATACTCCCACTCTCAATAATTGATAGAGCGACTAGACATAAAATCAACAAGGATATAAAGACTGCAACAGTATTATAAAACAACTTAAACTAATGATTGACCTAATGGAAGAGTCTATATAACAGCAAAATACACATTGTTTTGAAGCAAACTTGGAACACTCTCCAGGATAGACCATATGCCAAACAATAAAATAAACCTCAGTAAATTTTAAAAGATTGAAATCATACAACGTATGTTTTCTGACCACAATAGGATCAAATTAGAAATCCACAACAAAGATATTTGGGATATTTACAAGTATTTGGAATTTTACAACACATTCCTAAATGACCAATGTTTGATAGGAGAAATCACAGAGAAATTAGAAAATACCTTGAGATAAATGAAAATAAAAACACAATATACCTAAAGTAGTGTTTTGAGAGAAATCTGTAGCTGTGAATACCTATATTTTAAAAGAAGACCAACCTCAAATTAATAACCTAAACTTCCACCTTAGGAAACTACATAAAAGAAAGAAAACCAAACCCAAAGCAAGAATAAGGAAGGAAATCAGAAAGATTAGAGAAGAAAATAGAGAACAGGAAAACAATAGGAAATATCAATGACACCAAAGTCACAAATTGCTGAAACTGAAGAATTACAAAATCTTAGTACACCTATAACAAATAAGGAGATTTAATTAAGAATTTTAAAACTTCCAACAAGGGAAAGCCCAGAGCCAAATGGCTTCACTACAGAATTCTACCAAACATTTAAGGAAGAATTAACGCCATTCATTCACAAATGTTTCCAGAAAATGGATGAGGGAATACTTTCTAACTAATCCATAAGGCCAGTAACACCCTTGAGCCAAAACTAGGCAAAGACATCATGAGAAAATAAAACTCCAGACCAATATCCCTTATGAATGTACTGGTAAAAAATCTGAATAAAATATTAGCAATCCAAAACCAGAAATATAGAGTAAGTATCAGACACCATGAACTAGTGAGATTTATTGCAGGAATGCATGTTTGACTTACTATTAAAAAATTCATTAATGTAATATATAACATTAATGCAATTAAAGGCAAAACCACACAATAATCACAATAGATGCAGAAAAAGCATATGACAAAATTTAACATAATTTATGAATTTTTAAAAATGCTCTCAACAAAAAAGAATAGAAGGAAACTTTGTCAGTCTACTCAAGGACATCTATAAAAAACTTGCAGCTAACCTTATGCTTACTGGTGAAGGACTAAATGTTTTTTCCCTAAGATTGAGAACAAAGCAAAAATGTTTTGTCTTACAATTTCTATTCAATGCTATATTAGAGGCCCTAGCTGGGTGCAATTAGGCAAGAAAAATGAGGGAAAGGATATCCAGACTGGGGATAAAAAGAAGTAAAACCATCTCTATTCACATTCCACATATTTGTAGACAATCCTAAGGACAAACAACCCAATTAAAAATAAACCAGATATCTTTTTTATGGCTGAATAGCATTTCACTGTGTATGTAGACTACATTTTCTTTATCCATTCTTGTACTGATGGACATTTAGGTTGTTAGCTATTGTGAATGCTGCAATAAACACCAACATGGAAGGTCATTATGGAGGTCATTATATTAAGCAAAATAAGTCAAAAAAAAATGATTACCACATGTTCTCACTCATGTGTGGGAGCTAAGAAAAAATTTTGAGCTCTTGGAAGTAGAGAGTAGAATTGTGGATATTAGATGCTGGGGAGTTTAGTGAGGAGAGGAAGATGGAGAGAGGTGGTTAATGAATACAAAATTACAGCTAGATAGGAGGAATGAATTCTGGTGTTCTACAGCATTTGTAGGCTGAATTTTGTTAACTGTAATTTATTATATATTTTCAAATAGCTGAAAGAATTATGAATGTTTACAACACAAAGAAATGATCGATGTTTGAGGTAATGAATATGCTAATTGTCCTGACTTGATCATTATATATACATACACATAGAAATATCACTCTGTATCCCATAAATACAAACAATTATTATGTGTCAAATAAAAATAAATACTACACACCCATTAAAGTGACCAAAATTCAAAAAATTGACAGTAGCAGTTACTGGCAAGGATACAGAGCAACAGGAACGCTCATTAATTACTGGTGAGAATGGAACAGAGTCACTTTGGAGGACAGTGTGGCAGTTTCTTACAAAGTTAAACATAGTCATGCCATACGATCCAGCAATCATGCTTCTACATAGTTACCAAACTGCTTTCAAAACTTACGCCCACACAAAAACCTGCACAGGAATTATTATAGCAACTTTATTCATAATCACCAAGAACTGGAAGCAGCCAAGATGTTCTTCAGTAAAGTAAATGAATCAACAAACTGTAGTGTATTGATACAATGGAACATCACTCAGTGATAAAAAGAAGTTAGCTCTCAAGCCACAAAAAGACATGGGTAAATCTTAAATCGCTAGTGAAAGAAGCCAGTCTGAAAATGCTACGTACTATATGATTCCAATTATTTGACAAAAAGGCAAAAGTATGGAAATAGTAAAAAAAATTAGTGGTTGTCAAGAGTTTGGTGGGAAGAAAGAAAAGTGAAACAAGAGATTTCTGGTAAAGATTCTATATGATACTATAATGGTAAGGACCGCAAAGAGTAGACCTTAAGGTATGCAAGTTAAAGATGTAATTAGGGAGGCCGGGTAATCCAAAAATATAATGCAAAATGTGACAGAACAATCAACCCATGTTTCAAATGTATGAAACAAACTAACTGAAGAGGATTGGAGGGAAAGGAGTCAACCTAAGGAACTCTGGGAATGAGTGGAGTCTGTAACACTAAAGGCAAAATAAACTGCACATAAAGCACTGTATGCTAGTTAATAAAGTGGTTTCCATTATTAACTTCAGTCAATAATAATATATCAATATTGGTTCATTAATTGTAACAAATGCACTATACTAATGTTAGATGTTAATAGTAAGGGAAATTGGGTGTGGGATATATGACAATTCCCTGTACTATATTGGCAATTTTTCAGTAAATCTGAAACTCTTCTAAAATAAATTTATTTTTCAAATAGACAAAATATTCTAACAGATATTTCACCAAAGAAGATACATGAATGGCCAATAAACCCTGAAAACATGCTCAGTTTCATCAGTCATTAGGAACTGCAAATGAAAACTACAATAAGATAACACTAAATACACACTTGAATGGCTAGAATAAAAAAGTTAGTTAATAGTAAGTGTTGACAAGATTGTGAATAAACTGGACTTTCATACATTGCTGGTGGAAATGTAAAATAGTACAACTACTTTGGAAAATGGTTTGGCCATTTCTTATAAAGTTTAACATAGATTTACCATATAACTGAGTGATTTCATTCCTATGTGGCTACCAAGAAAAAAGAAAACAAATGTCTACTCAAAGGCTTGTATGCTAATGTTCATAGCAGCATTATTTATAACAGTGAGAAAGTGGAAACAATCCAAATGTCCATTAATGGATAAACAAAACCTGGTTGTACATACACTAGAATACCATTCAGCAATATAAAGGAATGAACTATTGATACTACAGCATGAAAGAATCTCAAAACTATTATGCTAAATGAAAGAAATCAGATGTGATATACCTCATATTGTATAATTCCATTCATATGAAATCCCCCCCAAGAAAAATGCAAATTAATAGAGACATATTAGTGATTGCTTGGGCGGGGGTTAGAATGAGAATTGACTACAGAGGGGCTTAACGGATCTTTTGGAGGTAATGGAAATATTCTAAAACTGGATTGTGCAATGGTTGCATAAATCTGTAAATTTACTAAAAATCATTTACTGTACCTTTAAAACAGGTATAATCTGTAAATTATACCTCAATAAAACAATTTGTAAAAGGTAATGCCATCGTTAAGAAAGAAGCTTTATCAAGTGCCTGTTGCCCAAACTAAAAAGAGAAAGACCTATCTAGTTTATTATGAATGAAGAATCAAATATTGACAGTGACATAATAATGGCTTATAAGCCTATCCAGATTGTTATCTTTCCAGTGAAATTATCTCATATATTTCAAGAAGCAATGAAAATATTGAATATGGATATAAAACTTTGATTAAATATTTAAATTATATTTAACATACCTTCCAAAAAGGTTATAAACAAAAAATAGCCTGAAATATTTTACTGACAAAATTTCTAACTCAAATAAACAGAAAACTATACATTAAAAGATTCCCAGAATATATACAGGAATCATATGTTGAATTTTTTTTCTCCAAAGATTGGAATAGATGGATGTGGAAAAAAGCCTTGTGCAACCTTGGCCTGTTATTTGACGGATAACAAATTATACCGGGTGTCTTTATCTCACAATTATGCCTATATAGAATTCAAAGAAGTGCTTAAAAAGGTGTTTATTCAAGCAGGATTAGAAGGAAACCCCACTGTTCTGATGGTTCTTAATTTAAACCTAGAAAATGTAAGTACTTTCTGTCTTTATTATTTGCTAAAGTCTGATGTTTATGTACTCCTTCCAGAAGTTTAGGATTTGAAAATAAAATAAAATATTGATCTATTATCCTGCATATCATTTTTTTCATTATTCTCTGTTTTTATCCAGTCATAGCCCAAAATATTTATATATTTGTAGTCATGCCTTAGTTTTGAATAAACATTACAACAAAAGTATTTTCTATGTCTTTATTGTTTTCATTTTAATAGACATTAGAAATAACTTATCTATGTAGCTGAAGTCATTTATCTTATATCAAAACTAGTTTTGTAATCTGTATTTTTTTTAAACCACCATCTGTATTCACTATCTGTAATCTACAGATGTGTGTGTAATCTCCTTTTTTAATTTACAAACAACACAAATTTGTTGATCACAGTTCTGGAGACTAGGAAGTTCAAGATCAAGGTACTAGCAGATTTGGTGTCTGGTGAGGGCTCAGTCTTAGCTTCACAGATGGCACCATCTTGCTTCATCTTTACTTGGTGAAAGGGACAATTGAGTTCCCTCTGGTTCCATTTTAAGGGTTCTTATTCTACTTATATGTATGAACCTCTCATGACCTAACAGGTTCCCGAACATCTTGCCTTTTACTACTATTGCATTGAGGATTATTTTTCAACATATGAATGGGGGGGTCACAAACATTCAGACCATGATAATCACAAATATGTATGTAATCTTCAATATGCTCTTACAGCATTGAGAATTCTGTTTCTCCCTTTTATTCTCCTTGTGCTCTAATTTCATCATCAGGAATAGGACTTTCCTCATAGAATATATTATGATATTGTTTCAAATTGTTAACTTTTTTTGAGTTTTGTTTTGTGTCCTAATAAATAGTCAATACTAAAGAATGTTCCAAGCCGGGCTCAGTGGCTCAGCCTGTAATCCCGGGCCTTTGGGAGGCCAAGGTGAGTGGATTGCCTGAGCCTGAGGGTTCAAGACCCGTCTGGGCAACTTGGCAAGACCTCATCTCTACAATAAATCAAAAATTAGCCGGGCATGGTAGTGCGTGCCTGTAGTTCTGGCTACTTGGAAGGCTGAGGCGGAAGGATCGCTGGAGCCCAGCAGGGCAAGGCTGCGGTGGCCAGGAGTGGCCACTGCACTCCAGTCTGGGCGACAGAGTGAGACCCCAACTCAAAAAAAAAAGAATGTTCCATGTGCTGGTGAAAAGAATGTATATTCTGCAGCTGTTGGGTGAAATATTCTGTAAATGTCTGTTAGGTTCTCTTGGTCTATGGTGCAGTTCAAATCCAATGTTTCTTTGTTGATTTGCTGTCCAGATGATCAGTGCAATGCCAAGAATGGGTGTTCCTTACTATTATTGTATTAGGTTACATCTTTCCCTTTAGATCTAATAATATTTGCTTTATATTAATATATCTGGATGCTCTGGTATTGGGTACATATATTTACAACTGTTATATTCTCTTGCTGAATTTATTATTATGTAATGTCCTTTTCTTTGTTGTTGTTGTTCTTTACAAAATTTGACTTGAAATCTATTTTTTTTTTATATAAGTACAGCTATTCCTGCTTGCATTTCTGTTTCTGTTTGCATGGAATATCTTTTTCCATCCCTTTACTTTTATTCTGTATGTGTCTTTAGAGGTGAGGTGAGTTTCTGGTAGGCAGCATATAGTTGAATCTTGTTTTTCAGTCATTCAGCAAATCTATGTCTTTTAAATGGGGTATTTAGTCCATTTACATTCAAGGTTATAATTGACTTGTAAAGACTAACTCCTCTCATTTTATTGATTTCTTTCTTGTTATTTTGTATATTCTTTGTTCCTTACTTCATCTTTCATTGTTTATTTTTGTAATGTGAGTGTTACACTTGCTTTCATAATAGTAGTTATCATCTTTGCACTTCCAGATGTACGACTCCTTTGAGCATTTCTTGTAGAAGTGATGAATTCGCTCATTTTTGCTTGTCAGGAAAAGATTTTATTTCTCTTTCATTTCTGAAGGATAGCTTTACTGGACATAATATTCTTGGCTGATGATTTTGTTTTGCTTTGGTTCAGTACTTTGAATATATCATTCCATTCTCTCTTGGCCTATAAGTTTTCTGCTGAGAAATCTACTGTTATTCTCATGAAGATTCTTTTATATAAAGTGTATGACTTTTTTCTCCTGCTGTTTTTAGAATTCTCTGTCTTTGTCTTTGAATTTTAACAGTTTGCCTGTAAGGTGCCTCAGAAAGGACCTTTGGGGTTGAATTTGTTTGAGGATATTTGAGCTTCCTGGATTTGAATGTCCTTCTCTCTCTCAGCTTGAGATTTTTTTCAGCTATTGTTTCATTAAAGCTTTCTACACCTTTCCCTTTTTCTTCTCCTTCTGGAATTCCTAAAATGTGGATATTCATTGGCTTTATGGTTTCCCATAAATCTTGTATGCTTTCTTCATTCTTTTTTCTTTTCTTTTTTTTCTTCCTGAGTTATTTCAGGAGACCTGTCTTCAAGTTTGGAAATTTTTTTTCTGCTTCGTTGTGTCTGTCATTGAAACACTCAGACATATTTTTTTAATTCATTCATTGAATTATTTAGCTATAGAACTTGTTTTTTTATTTAAGTTATGACCTATTTTTCTGATTTTGTTGAATCATCTATCTGTATACTCTTATATCTCACTGAGTGTCCTTAGGATCATTGTTTTGAATTGTTTTTCTAGTATTTTTTATATTTTCTTACGATTGTGGTCTGATACTGGGAAAATATTGTCTTCCCTTTGAGTAGAGATATCATGTTTCCTTCCTTTTTCTTGTTTAACGTGTCCCCATGTTGATTTCTACGCACCTGGCAGAACAGTAGCCTCTTTCAGTTTTATGGAGTAGGTTTCATAGGGAAAGACTTATTTGTAAGGATGGATCTTGGGGTGCCAGTCAGTGAGATGTATTGACTTTGGTTCTAGATGGATATAGTAGTATAGTATCCATGTTGTTTATTCAGCTGTAATCCATGCAAGTGACATTTAAGGGTCTCAGTGGCCTAGGCTGAGAGTTTGTGGTTGTAGTAGTAAAACTTTGCCAAGAGTGGACTAACCAGGTTGTCTCTCAGGTTGAGGACACATGCATGTATGCAATGAGTCAGCCAATTTAGGGTCTGACTCACTTGAGTTAGGACCATGGGGCTGTTACTCTGGCCAAGGGCATGGGCATGTGTTTGCTCAGCAAACCTAGAGAAGTGTCTGCTAGAGGTTATCCATAGAACTGTTTCTTAGGCCCTGAACACAGGTACAGGGCCACTGAACAGGCCTGCGACATGTCCACAGGGTGAGGGTAGGGGCCATCACGGGGATATTTCTTAGGCTCAGGAAGTGGGCATAATGCTGCTTGGCCAGCCTGGGAGTTTGCCCCACCAGTGGTAGCCCATGAGGCAATTTCTCAGGTCTGGAATATGTACATATGGCTGCTCGGCCCACCTCGATAAAGGGGAGGCAGCAGGTCTGCCAGGGACATCCTGTTTTTAGACCCAGGACATGGGTACACAGCTGCTCAACTGACTTGGAGGCGAGTCTTCCAAGGACATTCCACAGGGCTGTTTCTCAGGCCTTGATTTTGAGCATAGAGCCATTGTGGAGGATGGAACATATTCATAATGGGGACACTACAGGGCTATTTCTCAGGCCCTGGATACAGTCATTTTGTCACTCCACCAACCCAGGGAAATGTCAGCTACTCCATGGCTATGGGACTTCTCCCACTTTGGGGAGGGTGCACAGTGGTTTGGCTAGCTCAAGGTCAGTTTTACACTGGACGGGACTGCCAGACTATTCCTTTGGCTAAGAAGTGTGGGCAGTGAGGGTTGGTTTCCCTGCTGTGCAGGACTCAGAGTCACAGCCAATCCTGCACCAAGGCTTTGCACAGCTAGGGTTGTAGCATTTAGCCAACCATTTGGGCATGGTGGAATGAAGATGCAGCCCCAGGTCTGAAGAGGTAGAGTGGCTACTGGTCTAGAGGTGGCTCTAGTCTCAAGATGGTGCCATGCTGTAACAGCTTGGCTCACGAGGAGTGGGGAATGTACACCGTGTGCTCCTAATCTGGAGCAATGCAGCTGCATGAATTCCCAGTGGCTCTCAAAAATGGCCTCAGGGCTTGCAAGAACTGTGGAATTCTACTCTAGTAAGGATTATAGGTGTTTGCAGTGGCAATGGGGGATAGTCGGGTTCTTCTGCTTGCCTGTTCCTTACAAGGAGAAGTCCATCCTGACTTCCAGCTGATCTTAGTAAGGGAGTCAGGGCTGCAGAGGCAGGGTACCTCTATGCTCTCTCCTGGGCTCCCATTTACCACAGTTACCTCTCCACTCTCACTGCACTCTAGCATTCTCCCTTCAACAATCCAGTCAAATCTTTGCTGTTTATTTGTTGCCTTGGTTCTTTCCTGTGGAGAGGTTAGTGCTAGGTGCCTCTACTCAGCTATCTTGCCAAAGTCATCAGGCCCAGAATATGCTATTTTTACATAAAGCAAAAATTTCTAATCACATGCTTTTTTAGTTCTGTTATGTTGCACAAGCCATACCTTTCTGTGGGCCAAAACAAAATTAACAATGTCATTTCAAATTGTGTTTACTCTTCTGTGGCAAAATTTCAATGGAATATTGTTTATTATTTATGATCCAGAAATATATAGTATGAATATTGTTTCACCCTCTCATTCTGTTTTACTCCTAATGCTGAGGTTTTCTCTATAGAACTTTTAATGCCATATGTTGAGAATAAACTCAAATGCCATAATCATATCCGCTATACTCCATAATAACTAGTTTTTCTGCTGTATCTATATTCTCCCTTCCCAAACTTAAATATACCATTCTATTGATCTAATTGAGGCTTCTGATACATACTTTCTTTCTGGATTTCAAAAGATCTAGTTTCTCCCATTCCATTTAGAGCCCATTAGAGCCCATTGTTCTAAGTTAATGACATTTTTCAGAAAATCATTTTAGGCCAAAGCTTAAATGAACATTGCTTCTCTACTCCTAGGTTATTCAGGACTTTATAATCACTGTATCTGCTTTCCACACTTCACAGGTTTCTTCTGGCCATAGCATTGCTTTTCCTATGACTCAAAAAGAGTAGTTAACAATCAATGTGTTTAATAAGCTTTGGTAGTTCATCATGTATGAGGTAAGACAGGAAGTCAGTCAGCCCTGTGTCACCTCTGTTGGCCTCTAATGGAGATTGCCCATGAGCTCTCTGGCCTTCCCTACCTGAACTGAAATATCAAGAACCTGTGAGTGTCTAAGGAGTGTCCTAAAGAAAGTCAATAATGCTATTGACATTTTTAATGCTTTTTTAAAAAAAGAAACCTGGGATTTATTCTCAAAAGAAAAACATTCATATTTTTATAAGTTATTATGTAAATTATAATACTTTTATAATTTATAATACTTTCCAGTAGAGTTTCTTTCCCTGCTTTTTCTCCTCTGTTACCTTTCCCATTAGATCTGGAGCCCTATATAGAGATGAACTATTAAATTAAAATAATCCTTCAGTCATATTATGTCTAGTTTACCTACTACTATTCAAACACAAATGTAGATGTATTGAGGGCTCTATGAACTTCTTGAGGTAGGGTTCCTACCCAATTCCTTATTATACCCATCCCTCCATAACTCTTCCCAGTGCCTAACACAGGCATTTGGCATGCTGTCAGTAACCAAGTATATGTTTCTCTAATATTTGAATGAATGGATGAATGAATTAAGCTTGTTTTGACTCAGAAAAAAAAGATTGTTTGATGAGTTTGAATTAAGAAGGTGGCTTTAAAAACTAGCCTCAGTTCTCCTTAATCACTATTGCTTTCTCAATTTGGTGTGTTCAGAGGAGAATATACGAATAATTTTCTCATTCCTGATTAAATGTATATTTCACCTAAGGACTTATTTTTGGAAGACTTGAACTTCATTGTCAATTCAAGAAGAATACGTGACTTGTTTGAAAATGAGGAGCTGGACTCTATTGCAATAAAGATCAGGTCTCATGCTGAACCGTCTGGTAATATGGATGATAGACAATCTTTGCTTTCATTCTTTCAAAAGGTACTTTTTGTGGGTTGGCCTTATCAAATTGTCATGCTAAATTAAAAGTAGACCATGTTTATAATTCTGTACATGATTTTCAAGTTGGCTTTATCAAATTATCATGTTAAATTAAAAGTAGACCATGTTTATAATTCTGTACATGATTTTCAAGTTGGGTATAATTTATTTAGTTCTTTAAATGAGCTTTGCAGCTAAAATAATGATCACACTACCCACAGATACATCATTATACCCTTAGGTAGGTCAAAGATTAACAAAGATCTGAGCCTGTCTAGCTATGAATGGTTTAAAAAAATAATAACAGCTGGAGGCAATCAAATGAAAAATAAGATCCCCAGTTTATTTCTTACCCTGAGATTCCTTCCTAGCTAATGAGGTTTTTATTTCAGCTATGTTGGTAACAAGTCTGGAAATACAAAAAAATAAGAATCCTTGCATCCCTTTGAATAGTCCTAGAATTGACCAGGAGGTGACAGATACAGAAGTAAATTGACCAGATAGAACAGGTGCTATTCAGAATGAAGACTGCAGCAGAGTTACTATGAAAGAACTGGTTTGATGAGAGACATAGACTAGACCAAATGAAAAAAGTTTTCTGTGTCTTTGAAGCATGATAACTGAGTCCCACAGCTTAGTGAATGGGTAAACATGATTACCTAAACTGAAATGTTCACTGGGGAAGGACCACAGATAAACTTATTTCTGGTGCTAACTTTTGTCTATAATAGGATCATTTTAAAAATTGAACCTGGCCACCTCAGTAGAGACTTAGTAATCTATCACAAGAAGAAAATATTTTTTAAATTTCAAAATGAATCCACAACTGATAGAAAACAAGATAATATGAATGAACACTTGGATTGAGCTATATATTTAAATGCTGTGGTAGAAAGGCTAGCATTTATCCTGATAATTGTGACACTCTAGTGCGTTTTTACTGTATTTGGTTTATTCATCAGATTGTGAGTGGTAAAGATGAACAAAGAAATCCTACTTTGGAGTGTGGAGAACAGTGTGCTCCAAAAATAAAAAACAGAAATAAATAAATAATCTCAATTAGAAATAAATTATAATCATTTATTTCATTATTTATAATGTTTTATAAATATATATTATATATATAAAATACTATACTTCTAAAAATTATTTGATGTGTCTTACAATAATAATAAATAGTAAAGGCATACTTTAAACTGCTACCTTGATATCTCTAGATAAGAGTTTGGGGGATAGGTAAGGCAAAGAGAGGCATTTTTCATTTTTACTATAAACATTTCTGTATTGTATGAATTTTGTATTGAGCAGTTTTATTTGCCCTTATAATTTTTTTAAAGACAAAGAGGAAGAAAAAGAGAAAAATCTTGCCCTTTAATCTTCTTTCAGCTTTACCATTCTTATTTGGCAAAATAGGTTGCTTGATACTGACAGATATTATTACTTTGTACAGTTGGGCTCTGAGTTTAAAAGAACACTGACTCACTGAGGCTGTTTTCAATGATGTGGATTTATTGTAAAGTGTCATATGGAAATAAGGAGTAAGGAATCTGTGCCCCATGGTCAGTCTTGCCAAGAACCCAAGAAGAGCAACAGCACAGTTGGGTCTTATGAGGAAAAGAAACAGGCAAATCTCAAAGAAAGTAGCACTCAGCCTGCAGGGTCTGTAAAATCATGTAGGATCTAATTTTGCTTAGCTGTAATCCTTTGTCTGCAGGAGTGTATTACTGCCTCTCAATACTCTACCCATAATGTTAGTCTCTGTTTCTTTCAGTTTTAGTTCATCTGACCATTTTCTCACTTTGAGTTTCTGTGGGTCTTAAATGAGCACCACTACAGAGGAATTGTTCAAATAGCCAGACCCACTACCATCTTATATAGGGTCCCCTACTGAACAGAACTCTAGCACCAGACTCCATCATAAAAGTTGAATTTTACAAGGGGTGTTCTCAGTCCAGTGCCTCCCCTACCCAGTTCATCCAGCTGAAGCTAAAAGGATGGGGGTTGCGCAGAGCAAAGCATGGCTACTTTCCTCAGAAGGGGTCTGTGGGACTATTAGCTGCCCTTGGAATTGCCCTGTCTATGTTAGGCAATTAATGCACCATTGATCAGTCACTAGTCTACCCACTAAGGAAAGATTGAAAGAAGTTTTCGATGGAATTTTCGACAACATAATATTTTTTCAGAGCAGTGGATTACATTTTAACAATTTATATTTTCATTAATTTTCAGAGAATATACAAAAATCTTCATATTTTTATGATTATGAGTCCTGAAGGACCTAACTTCCGCCAAACTTGTAGAGCATATCCTTCTATGATTAGCTCTTGCACAATCGACTGGTACGAGAGGTGGCCAGAAGAAGCTCTCCTTATTGTAGCCAACTCATTCTTAAGAGAAAAAATGAATATTGAGAACAGAGAGGTAAATATCTAATGCAGGTGAAGGTTTCCGTTTATTAACAGCATCTGACAGTATTATGTCTCTGAACCGCAGTGAACCCTTGATGGGCAAAAACAGGAAGCGTTAAGCCAAATTATAAAATGTGCCAAGTGTTTGTCCTGACACCTTATCAGTTCCTCATCTCTTTTGCTCCCTAATTCACCCTATTTCAAAGACCCAGATTCAGATTCCACACTGCCTGGGTCTCTTCATTATTCTGGCCCCACAGTGAACGCAAATTTCCATGAAGGAAACAACATCCATTTTCATAAAGATGCTGCAACTTTCTCTGTATCTCTTGAAAATTATTTTGCAATTATCATAATACTATAAGAAAGGGATTGTCAGGAGTGGGAAACTGCCAGGGGAAGGAGGGGCACACCTCATTAACAAGGGTAACTGCATAATGGACATTTGTATACCTAACCCTGGTGTGTACCCCACATTTTTAAAATAAAAAATAATACAGAAAATTGTTCTGGCTTTGCTGCAACAACAAAACTACAAAGAAATGAGAGCACAAGCCACAACACAAAAAAATTGCTCAGAATGTATGAGCTACAAGTAAGAATCTATTCTAGAGTGATTAAACTGAAGATCTCATAGGATCCAGCTGACAGAAAAGGGGCAAGGAGGATTGACCAAAGGAACTGTAAATGCATAGAGGCCTGAAACTCAGTGTGGAACCTAGGGAGCGACTTGCATCCTTACTGGTCCAGGTGTTCAAGGAAAGCGAAGGCCAAGAAGAGTAGAAACAGGATAGAACCAGAAAGAAAATGCAGCTGGGTTAAAAGTGACCAGTGTTTGGCTAGTTCAGTGGACTGGAGATAGGTAACCAAGACTAGATTATGTCTAAATCAGAAATCTCTCTCAATCTAAGCAAAGACAACATTATTTCTACCCGGATTTTGCCCACCTATATATCCTTTGGGCCCTTGCATTTTTGTAGTTTTAGTTTAAGCAAGAAAACATTTTTTAGTACCTTGCTATTGATAACTTTAACAAAGATAAAAGACAAAGAAAGCACCATAATCCTTGGTCATTGATGCTGGTGCCCTAAATTCTTGTATGGCTGTAGCAGAAATTAGAGTAAAGCTTAGGAGATTGGAGTATAGCATGACATTAGTCATTAGCTATATTGTTGCCTCTTCTACCCCACCATCATCTCACCCACTAAAATGCATATTTTCTTGGTCCCACTTATCCAGGACTTTTCTCTACATCTCCACATCTAAGAAATGATAAACGATTTTAATCAATTGGCAGTGCTCAACTTTCTGTTTTTGCATATAGTTGGATTCCTCTCTCTAAATTCTTAAAAATTATTATTCTTTAGAGCTTAGAAGAAAAACTTGCCCCAACATGTGTCCAAATTTACAAAAGTATAAAAGACTTGAGCACAGAATACTTTCAAGAAACTGGAAGGCATTATTATATCACTCCCGGTAGCTACTTGCTATTCATGGAAACATTTGCTCACGTTTTGAAGTCTCAAGAGAAGAAGATGCAAATGAAAAGGTAAGACATCGAGACCAAATCAGAAAGATATTTTATATTGGTGACTTTTATGTGTAAAAAGAGGCACAAATGCAAAAATGGTGAGCCCGAGTCTGCCTTTTTGTTGGGAGGAGAAAGCCAGAAGCTGCAGAAGATCTTAAAAGAGTTAAGGTTGCTATTTCCCCTTCATGCATTCAAAGGCAGCCCTTGTCAAGGCAAGGCTGACAGATTTGGTCAGTAAATAAACAATTCTTAACTTAACTAGATAGTGTATTACTTACATAGACAATGAAAGCAAGAGTAACTAATGGATGCCACTCTCCATATCCCTTGACCCATGGGATTACACCAAAATAAAAGGCGTTGGATGACTATGACACAAACAGCAGAATACCCTATTTCTGAGGAGCCCATGCCATGCTCAGCTAAGCAGTTACATAGCCAGCAGCTGTACCTGAGGAAGTGGGGGAAAAAATGAGAGGCAGAAAGGCTCATACCTAATAGGAACACAGGAGACATTAAGAAACTGTCTCATGACAAACCTCCCAGGAAGACAGGGAAATGAGTGAGAAATGGCCTGGTGGCATCTGCTCACAAGTGTCCCTTGTTCTCACTTTCTGGGAGGATCAGGGTGTTCTGCCAACACTTAGATCAGTTGCAGCTAAGCCTTCCCTATATGACCTATGTGGAGTTATGAAAGGCTACCAAGGCACGATGGTAGAACAATTTCTCTACAAGCCCATCCCTCAAACCTATCATCCAGTTAAAAATTATCTTTAAAAATTAGGCCTCTCCCAGTACAGTATTAATTGTACTGATAGGGGCTTGGACCAAATCCATCCTATTTGTCTTAAGGAACACTGGATGAGAGTGACCATGATTATGACACCTACTTGGAGGATATGCCATAGCCAGCCTCCCTTTCTGAAGCCAAGCCAGTTAAAAATGTTAATCCAGATATATCAAGAAGTACTGGCAGTGGCACATACTCTGTCTCAACTAGCTGTGAAGAAGTTCAGGGAAATGTGATTTTTCTGCACTATTCATACTGGAGAGTTTAGACTGGTTTGTGTGTGGCAGGCAAGTATAGGCCTGATACTTTCATAAGAAATAATAGCAACCTCCTAATATGGTGTCAGGATCTAATTTTATTAGGATTTTGTTAACAAGCTCATGTGGGGCATGATTGATTCAACATCATTAAATTTAGAGCATTTGAGTTAGTTTGTGAATATAATGAGGCTAAAAGGAATCATCAGTGTTCACAAAGTTAATCTTGTTCTATTGTTTCGAGTAGAGATCGTTCTGAGGTTTCTGAGAGTCCTTTGACTAAAGATTTTTGTTGATCAACAATTAAATTGAAGCTGGTGGCAACAGTCTAGGTAAATTGGCCAGATACCCTTCAGACAAGAGACAAAGGAGATTAACGGACTTTCCTTTTACTCTTAACCTCCTGGGATCTGATGTATCCCCTCCCTACCACCCAGAGTTATTGCTCCTCATTCACGGCCATGTAATCAGTATGAGCAATCCCTGTCACAATCACCTCACCCTTTTTCCAGTCTTCTTCATGCCTTACTAACAACATATACCCAGACACATCCCTAGGTGATTCAGTAGTTTCCTCCTTACAAACTTTGTGCTATTGCCAGGCGTGGTGGCTTAAACCTATAATCTCAGCACTTTGGGAGGCCGAGGTGAGTGGACTGCCTGAGCCCACGAGTTCGAGACAGCCTAGGCAACTTGGCGAGACCTCATCTCTACAATAAATCAAAAATTAGCCGGACATGGTAGTGTGCCTGTAGTTCCGGCTACTTGGAAGGCTGAGGTGAAAGGATCACCTGAGCCCAGTGGGTGACCGTGGTGTGCCACTGTACACCAACCTGGACGACGGAGTAAGACTTCAACTCAGGAAAAAAAAAAAGAAAAGAAAAGAAAAAATATTGTGCTATCCTAAAACATCTCTCTCCCACCCCCTGATGTCTGGGTCATACCATGACAATCTTAAGAGTTGTCACCTTATATGCATGATCTTATCATCAACATCCATAACTTCCCATATCCAGCAAGTATAGTTAAGTGGCAAAAGAAACACAAGGTCACCGCCCAACTCTTCTTGGCTTCTCACGAATTTCAGTAGCCTGGTTTTCCAGGGATAGATATGGGAGTAGAAAATGTGGGAGGTGTTAATTATGTGGTTTGACTCTTTTACAGCCAACTTGGGCTTCTTCTCCATCCCAAAACTTATCATTAAATCTTCTGTTTAAGTGGATGGTATCTTTCTGGGGAATTATTAAATTTAAAGCTCAAATTGCTTTAAAGTGTGTGCTACAGTGGGAGCTGAACCTCAGATGTTCAGTTATCTTTCTTCGTTTTTCCTTTGAGTCCCTTTTATTTTTAATAACATCTGATCTGTATCAAGTTGAAGAAATTCCCCTTTATTCCTAGTTTTATAAGCGTTTTTAGCACACATTTTTATCAAATGCTTTTTCTGAATCAATTGATATTGATGTAGAGGTGAGTTGCCTTCTTTAGCCTGCTAATATGGTAGATTACTTTAATTGACTTTAAAATTTTGAGCCAGTCTTACAACCCTGGAATAAATCCCATTTGGCCATAGTTTGGTATAATTTTTTTATATATTGTCAAATTATATTTGCTAATATTTTGTTATAATCTTACACCTTCTTAATACTTTTTTTTTCCCTTTAGGGAAGGTTTCTATATTGGTCTATCCAAAATCCTGGAAGCAACCACACTAGTTACAGATATGCAGGAGGAGCTCTTGGTTCTTGGCCCTCAAATAGAACAAAAAACAAAGGTATATTTGGCTTGAAATTTCTTTTTAAAATGTTATAGTCTAATATACAACAGTGTTTGAAAGCAAAGTTTCTATACTGGACAAAGATAGGATTCTAGCTTTGTTACCATGTAGTTGTGTAACCTTAAAAAATAATTATTTGATGTCTTTTAGTCTCAATTTTCTTATCTGCAAAATGAGAAAAACAGTAACAGCAAAGTAGTAATACTATTAAATTTTGATAATTAAATGTGATAACAGGTATTTAGCTAACTAAAGGCGCTTATATGGAATTATTTCCTAGTTAATTAGCTAAATCCATCTGAAATGCACTGAGGTAACTTGCAGTCCTATCAAGCATTCTAAAAATAATCACTCATCATCCTTTATGCATATTGTATGAATTGATAGTTACTGTAGTTATCCTAATTTATCTGTTAAACAAATGTATTTCAGGATGATTTGGATAAAGTTTGTAATAATGAAATGATTTGTTTGCATTTCTTTCTTAAAAAATAGATCATGTCTCTTAAAATTAATTCTAAGCAGGATTATTTGGTTAATTAGGAAACAGAAACCCTAATAGAAAAACTACAGAAAGATTCACAAGTAGTTGAGAAAGTTCAGATGCTTGTTAAACAGGATGAAAAAATTGTGGCCGAAGATATAAGAATTGTGGAAGATTATGCTCAGGTAAAGTCAAAATATAGTCAATAAAAATATTTTGGATATTTTCAAACTTATTTACTAACCCCAGAATTTAAAAATCAGACAGACTGCTTTTAAACATATATTGTCCCAACTATAGATACTTTTTATTTTTATCTCAAAAAATTTATTGAGTTCCTACTACACAAAGGACATTATTAAATGAAAGTAGGGAGTACAAAATTACATGGTCCTATCTTTGAGACACCTTCAATCCTAGGAAGTTCTTCTGGTTATGATGAACGGAAACTCATTCAGGCTATATCAAAAATACACTTGGCTTTCAAGAGGAAAATCTGCAAGAAACAAGGCAGCTCTAGGGACTGGCTATGTGGTGTGTGTCACTTCTGCTGTTGACTGAATAACCCTGTCTTTGTAAACTGGCCGTTTCCCTCTATACTCTCCAGTCAGGATCCAGCGGGAGCCAATGTGGTTTAGCAGATTACTGAATGCACAGTAATCTGGTCTGATTACTGGTCTCATCAGCAGCCATTGCTGCTGAGGAGGTGGAAAGTGGAATTTTATGTTTTCTATGTGCAAACATTTTTAATCAAGCAACTCCATCAATTACAAAAACATATATATATGAGCCTATACTACAGAATGTGCATGATTATTCATTTATAAATTATGTGCATAAGTGACTATCATTGGCTAATGTCCCAAAGCCCAACAAATACCTAGGATAAGGTTTATTGTGAACAATAGTGAATGTGAATACGTATTTCAAATAGACTTCTTGGTGGTTTCAAAAATTTGTGACTGACGTTTCTGCTTAGTTCATCATTATTTTTTGCCTTATAATATGGTTGAAGAAAAGTTTATATCAACAATTAAAGGAGTGTCAGCCTGCCTTTTTCTTGTTGTCTACTTGTGCTTCCATTATTAGCATTACCTTCAATTCAGTGTTTATTTTAGAAATCTTTTTATGCTATCAGTCCATGTTTTCAGATCTAACTTATTTCAAACTGAAGAGTCAAATCCTGTAACTTGGACACCAATAAACTGCAAGGCCTCCTAATGTCCGAGTGTTAAGGAAACAGGGAAGGTCCCACTGTGGACCCTTCTCAGATGTGGAGCTTCCACGCTTCCATCAAGACACCACATAAGTCTCACTGTGAGTGCCCTATAACCTCTGCTCTGTCAACCACCAGAAGGTGCCACTTTGGTCAATATATTAAATAACAGTGCAACTTAATTTTGGCATTTCATATTTTAGGCCAAGTGAAAGTGGATACAGAGAAATTCACATTTTTCTTGTGTTTTTTTTTTCTTTTTTGCCATACTATAAAGGGTAATCTTTTTCCTTCAGAGATAAAGCCAAGTTCATTAGGGACTAAAGCTTAAATAATTTTGAAGTCATATTTTTTTAAAATGCAAAATTACTAGTACACAATTAGATATGAAAGTTAATATTGGCAAGCCTGTGCTTCCGGGCAAGATGGCACTGGAACTGGCCAAATTGTGAGAGTCTCCACAAAAGCGAGTGTCCATAAAGACTCTCTACATGAGTGGGTGTGTGCTGGTGGGTGAGTGAAAATCCATCTGAGGGGAAACTCAGGTTCATGCACCTGGGGCTTGCCTCTGGAGGTGACTGCAACCTACCACCATCCTGTGATTGGATTGTCTGCTTTTCTCAGGGTTCTCTTGAGAGGAGGCAGCAGACGAGAGCTGCGCCTCACCTCCTGGCACCTGGCCCATCCCATCACCTGCAACAGCAGATCGGGCATGAGCAGGAGGAGCCGTGGAGGAGGCAGATTGTGAAAATCTGGAATAAAACTCCAAGACAGGTGATGATACGCCAATGGGCACCATCTGCAGGACCAGGCAGAGACCTGCATTGCCCCACTCAGCTCCCCACAGTTTCCATCTAGGGACTCCAAGGCCATCCTCTCTTTGGTCTTGGAGAAACACTCCCCGCCTCCATGCTGGAGCAGGTACAAAAATGTCAGATCTGAGTGGGGTACTTGAGAGCAGCAGCAGAAAGTAGGGTGAGTCCAGATCTGATCCATCCTGTTCCCACAGCAGTCCATGTGGCATCTGGCCCATGCTGAAAGCAACCCTGTCAACTGCACTGAGAGTGGAGGGGAGGCCCTGGAGACCAGAGCCACTCCTAAGCCAAAAGGAACCTGGAGTTACAGAAATGGCCACAGAGCAAGTTTTTTTTTTCTTCTTATTTGTTTTTTGTTTTAGTTTTTGCTTAATTTTTTCTTCTCCCTTTTTTTATTTATATTTTTATACTTGTTTTGTTTCTATTGTCTTAGTTGTTTTTTTTTTTTTAGATTTTCTGTTTGTGTATGGGTATTTTTAAGGGAGAGAACACCAACGGGGGGGTTATTTGTTTGTTTGTATGATTGTCTTATGTTTTTGTCTTTTTTGTTTTTTCTGTCTTTGTTTGTTTCTCTGTCTATTCATTAGTTGGTACACCTGTCTGTTTTCCCTTTTCTTCTTCTCTCTCTCTCCACCTTCCTTTCATCATCATCCTTCCTTTGTCCATTCTTTTCCCTTTTCTTATCTCATTTTGCTTTCAGGGGGCAAACAGATACCCCCCCACCACATAAACAGATTGTAAGGCAGTGGGAAGTGGGTTCCAGGGGGGCCCACAACCAGCCAGCAGATACTGGGACCTGCAGATAGCTTTTGAATCACAGCTCCCCCTTCATTAAATCTCAAACCTGCAAAAAGCACAAGCCCCCACCTCCAGTCCAGCTTCAGAATTGAACAAAACCAGAGAATCTACATAAGGAAGAATAAGAGATTCTGCAAACAGAAATAAAAGCAATTGAACAACAGAATTAAAGAAGAGATTTTTTTAAATGGGGGGGAACTCTAAACAAATTAAGAAAAACCACAGGAAGAATAGAGTCTCACACAGACCCTTGGGAGGTTAGCTACTGAGAATACAGACTTCAGAACTCAAATAATGAAGAGCCCCCAGAATGACTGGTCTCAAACCACAAACCCAGATATCAAGATATTAGTAGAGAGAACAAATAGAAATGAGGAGAGAAAAGAGGAAAGAATGAAGGAGATGATAACTGAGATAACAGCAATAAAAGAATACAGTGAATGAAATAAATAACAAACTGATAAGCATGGAAAGCAGAATTAACCAAGCAGAAGAAAGAATCTCAGAGCTTAAGGACCAAAATATGGAATAAGCCAAACTGTTAAACACAGAAGAGAAACTTAAAAAGAAAAAACAAAATCTCCAAGAGATGAGCAATTATTTTAAGAGGCTGAACATAAGGTTAATTGGATTCCCTGAGGCAAACAGAGAGACAGAGACCACCCTGGAACAAACATTCCATGAAATTATCCAAGAAAACTTCCCTCATCTCATCAGTGACATGACCATTCAAACACAAGAGATTCAGAGAACCTCTACAAGACAACAAATGAGAATACCAACTGCTAGACACACAGTAATTCACCTACACAAAGTAGGTATAAAAGAAAAAAATTCTAAAAGCAGCAAGAGAGAAAGGTCAGACTACCTACTGGGGAAGACAAATTAGAATATCAGCAGACTTCTCTACAGAATTACTTCAGGCTAGGATAATTTGCAGTCCAATCTTCAAAGTTCTCAAAGATAAACAATTTCAACCAAGAATTACCTATCCAGCTAAGCTAAGTTTCATCAGTGATGAAGAATTAAAATCCTTCCCAGATATTCAACCTCTAAGAGTTCATGGTGCCTCCAGACCAGCTCTACAAGAAACACTTAAGAAAGTATTAAACACAGAAGAAAGTAAAAAAAGATGATATACCCTTTCCAAGAATGCAGGGAAAAGATTGAAAACACATATGAATCAACACAAAAATCAAAAGAAAGACAACAAACAAAACAGCAGCAGCAACAAACTCTATAAGAACCTCATGACAGGGATAAACTCTCACATCTCAATAATTATCCTGAATGTGAATGGACTAAATGCACCACTGAAAAGACACAGAATGGCAAACTGGATAAAATATCTTGAAGCAACAATATGTTGTCTCCAAGAGACTCATCTCACCAAAAAGGACACTCACAGACTCAAAGTAAAAGGATGGAAAACAAATTTTCAGATGAACAGAGCACAAAAGAAAGCAGGAATTGTGATCTTAATATCAGACAAAATACCCTTTAAACTATCAAAAATTGAAAAAAATATGAATGGTCACTACATAATGATAAAAGATACAATTCATCAACAAAAAATATTCATCCTAAACCTATATGCACCCAACATAGGGACACCAACTTTCATAAAGCTGCTTCTAGGTAAACTAAAAGAAGATATTGACTCTAACACTATCAGAGCTGGGCCTTAAAAGCACTCCACTAGTAACCCCAGACAGAACATCAAGATAAAAAGTCAACAAGGAGATCTGGAACCTCAGTGTGACGCTTGACCGAATGGGCTTAATTGATACCTACAGAACACCCCACCCAACAGCCACAGAATATACATTCTACTGTTCACCACATGGAACTTACTCTAAGATCGACCACATCCTTGGCCATAAATCAAGCATAAACAAGTTCCATAAGATCAAAAAACTGCCATGCACTTTCTCAGACCACAGTGAAATACATTAAAAATCAACAACAACAAAGTTTCCCCAAAACCCACAAGAATATGGACAATAAACAGCATGAAGCTAAACAACTCCTGGGTCAACACAGAAATTAAAACAGAGATTAAAAGATACCGGGAAACAAATGAAAGTGAAGAAACATCTTACCAGAATCTCTGGTATGTCATGAAAACAGTACTAAGAGGGGAATTCATATCTCTATGAACATATGAAGAAAATGGAAAGATTACAAGTTAACAGCCTAACAAATCACCTAAGGAAGCTGGAAAAGCAAGACCACCAAAACCCTAACTTCAGCAAAAGAACCCAGATCACCAAAATAAAAAACCAAATTTGGAACATAGAAGACAAAAATATAATACAAAAAAAAATCAACAAAACAAAAAACTGACTCTTTGAAAGGATAAACAAGATAAGACCCCTAGCTAGACCAAGAAAAAGAGAAAAAAAGCCCAAATAAACACAAGCAAAAATGCAAAAGAAAAAGTCACAACTGATCCCAAAGAAATACAAAAGATTATCAGAGATAACTACATACACCTGTATGGAAACAAACTTGAACCATATAGAGATGGTTCACCTCCTTGGTAAAATATATTCCTTAACATTTTACTTTTTGGCAGCTATTGTAAATGAGATCAAATTCTTGATTTGATTCTCAGTTTGGTTGTTATTGGTGTATTGTAGTGCCACTGATTTGTGTGTGTGTTGATTTTGTAACCTGAGACTTTACTGAATTTGTTTGTCAGGTGTTTTTTGGAGGAATCTTTTGAGTTTCCTAGGTATAAGACCATATCATCAGCAAACAGAGATACTGTAACTCCCTCTTTTCCAAGTTGGACACCCTTTTTTTCCTTCTCTTGCCTGATTGCTTTGGCTAGGACTTTCAGTACTATGTTGAATAGAAGTGACAAAAGTGAGCATCCTTGTCTTGTTCTACTTCTGAGGAGGAATGCTTTCCACTTTTCCTCATTCAACATTATGTTGTCTGTGAGTCTGTAATATATGACTTCTATTATTTTGATGTATGCTCTTTCTATACCTGTTTTGTTAAGGGTTTTTATCATGTGGGGATACTGTGTTTTATTGAATGCTTTTTCTGTGTCTATTGGAATGGTCGTATGATTTTTGTTTTTAAGTCTGTTGGTGTGAGAGTCATATTTATTGACTTACATATGTTGAGCCATCCTTACATCTCTAGGGTGAAACCCACTTGATCATGGTGAATTATCTTTTTGATATGCTGTTGGGTTCTGTTGGCTAATATTTTGTTGGGGAATTTTGCACCTATGTTCATCAGGAATATTGATCTGTAGTCTTCTTTTTTGTTGTTGTGTCTTTTCCTGGCTTTTGTATCAGGATGATACTGGCTATGTAGAATGAATTAGGGAGGATTCCCTCCTTCTCAATCTTAGCCGGGCTCGGTGGCTCAGCCTGTAACCCCGCGCCTTTGGGAGGCTGAGGTGAGTGGATTGCCTGAGCCCACGGGTTCGAGACCCGCCTGGGCAGCAAAACCTAATCTCTACAACATATCAAAAAATCAGCTGGGCGTGGTAGCGCATGCCTGTAATTCTGGCTACTCGGAAGGCTGAGGCGGAAGGATCGCCGGAGCCCAGCAGGTCGAGGCTGCGGTGGCCGGGAGCGGCCACTGCACTCCAGTCTGGGCGACAGAGTGAGACTCCAACTCAAAAAAAAAAAAAAGTCTCAATAAATTCAAAAAAATCAAAATTATATCAGTACCTTCTCATGCCACAGTGGAATAAAACTAGGAATCAATTCCAAGAGTAGCTCTCAAAACTACAAATACATGGAAATCAAACAATCTGCTCCTGAATGATCTTTGGGTCAACAATAAAATCAAGATAGAAAATTTAAATTTTTTTCAAAATGAATGACACAGTTATCAAAGTCTCTGGGATAGCTGTTTTCAGAGGAAAATTTATGGTAGGTAAAGCCTATATCAAAAAGACAGAAAGATCACATGTTAACAACCTAACATCACACCTTAAGGAACTAGAAAAGCAGGAACAAGCCAAACCCAAAGCTAGCAGAAGAAATGAAATAACAAAAATCAAGGCAGAACTAAATGAAATTGAAACCAAAAGACAATACAAAGGATCAATGAAACAAAAAGTTGATTCTTTGAAAAGGACACAGATAATACTACACTAAATTTAAGAGAGAAGGCAGAAGCTGCTCAGTATTTTAACTTTCCATAGATACCTTCTCAACAGGGATTGAATAATGCACTACATTTAGGACTATAGCACATTTCCAAGCCTGTGTGCAGATAACTAAGTCATACAAGATGCATAATTTATCAGCATTGTAAAAATGTCAAATTATGTTTTCCAAGTTAAATATATAAAATGGTTAAATATATATTCATCTATATGTATTTGAAGGCTTATATTTTTATTGCAGAAAACTGCCAATGAACTAAATTGTGTGCTGCCAGCCTTAGACAAGGCAATTGTGGCTCTAAATTCCCTGGATAAAGCTGATGTCTCCGAATTAAAGTAAGTGACTTACCTATGTTTCTTTTGAGTTAGAAACGGTCATAATAAGCTAGACTTGGTGGCTCAGCCTGTAATCCTGCGGCTTTGGGAGGCTGAGGTGAGTGGACTGCCTGAGCCCGCGGGTTCAAGACTTGCCTGAGCAACTTGGGGAGACCTCATCTCTACAATAAATCAAAAAATCAGCCGGGCATGGTAGCATGAGCCTGTAATTCCAGCTACTTGGAAGGCTGAGGCGGCAGGATCGCGGGAGCCCAGCAGGTCAAGGCTGTGGTGGCCGGGAGCAGCCATGGCACTCCAGTCTGGGCGACAGAGTGAGACTCCAACTCAAAAAAAAAAAAAAGAAAAGAAAAAGTCATAATAAAACATAAATGCTTGTTAAAAATTACTAAACCTATATTGCATTTTTAGATTGTATCCATCTTGGTTACTCCAAGTTTCTCATTATATGTGATATATACTATATCTTAGCACTTTTATGATGCCATCAATTGTAAGGTATACCAGTATTTTTTTGTACTCTTACGAAAAAATGATGCCAGGTAAACTGTGGTGTGCCATTTGTTATAAATTGAATACCAGTTCTGAGCTGTAAAAATGTTCATCCTATAATTGATAAAATACAGTGTTACTTGGCCTGTAGTTCCAAAAATAAAAGGACAATGTTTACATCGCTGTTGCTTGTACCAGTTTAGCTATCGAGCACTTAGGATCTGTAGGATTGTAATAACACATACCAAGACTGCAATGTTGGTTATTACCACAAGGTGTCCTTTCCCAAACTCAATTTTGGGGGTGGAGGGAGTAATTAAAGAGAAATACATAAGAAAATACAAGAAGTAAAATAGGGTATGAAGATCTGATCCTGTTACTTCCAATCTGAAGTCTTGGGTGAGATCACTTTTAGTTTGAGCTCTCCAACACAATGGGAATCTGCCTATTATATCTTGGTATGTGTTGAATTTTTCATTATTTATAGATAGTATTTCAATAAAAGATGTAGATGGAGCAAATCTACTATGATATTTATAACACACATTAGCTCTTGAGATAAGAATAGAAATAGCAGAATTTTTTTTTTTTTTTTTTTTTAGTTGGAGTCTCACTCTGTCACCCAGACTGGAGTGCAGTGGCCACACCCAGCCATTATAACCCCGAACTGCTGGGCTCTGGTGATCCTTCTGCCTCAGCCTTCCAAGTAACTGGAACTACAGGCACGGGCTACCACACCCAGCTAATTTTTGATTTATTGTAGAGATGAGGTTTCGCCAAGTTGCCCAGGCGGGTCTCGAACCTGCGGGCTCAGTCAATCCACTCACCTCAGCCTCCCAAAGCACGGGATTACAGGCTGAGTCACCGAGCCTGGCTAGAATTTTTATCAATGTATTTTTATGGTGAAAAACAGAGCATATTACAGTTCTGAAATTAATCCACCAAAAGTTGAAAAATAAATGCATAGAGAGACAAAAAGAAAAGGAGAATGAATTTTTGACTTTCTTTTTCTTTCTTCCTTCATTCTTATGCATTCATTCTTATGCACTAATGTATTTATTCATTTATTCAGCAAATACATTGAGTGCACTCTATGTGCCAGGCCCCATTCGAGGCATTGAGTTACAGTAGTCAACAGTTTGGGAAATTTTCTGATGAGGTGACATGAGCAGAGAACTGAATGAAATTTGGAAGAAAACTAAGTAGGGATCTAGAGAAAGAATGTTCCAAGCAGAGGAAATGGAAAGGACAAAAGTCTTAAGGCTGAAATACACTTGGTGAGTTTCAGGGACTGCAAAAGCTCCAGATGGCTTAAGCTCAGTAAGCAAGCGGGACTATCAGGAGATTGAGAGGTAATAAGGGTCAGTCCTTCCCCAACACAGTACACCACCACCCCGCTCCACCTTCCCCTGCCCCCGCCATACCTCATGACTTCCAGAAGGTTCTATTTTCTTAGCTTTTTCTCTGGCACATATTTTGAAGTGAATGCCCTTTAGTGAATACCAAGCTTCCTGGAATCCTGGCACTACCACTTTCTAGATACATAACTTTCTAGATATATAACCTCTCTGTGCCTGAGCTTCCTTTTTATGTAATGGTGAGGGGAGTGAATGAGTTAATGCATGTGAAATGCTTAAAACAGAGTCTGGCATAAGATAATTGCTCCATAAAGGTTATTTTTGTGCTAAGAGGTTTCCTCTGATCAAGCAGGCCTTTTTCCCTGCCCTAGTACTAAAAAAGCTAAAGGAAACTAGCCTTGTCTTTGAATTCCTTGTGTATGCCTTTTTTTGTTTGTTTTTAAAGATTCTTCCTTGTGATATTGCTAAGGTGCATTTCACTCTGCTTACTTCAAAATGCCACATAAGTGAGGATGTCTTATAATATGATCTTTGTTGCTACTCTTAGGATATGCAGCAGAAACATCTAGCAGATACACAGCTTAGTCCATTCTCTTTTTAACTGCTATTTTCCATAATCAAAATGCAAATGATTACCCCTTGACAGTTTAATCCTTTGCCACTTTGCAATGTGAGCCACTAGAAGAAGGGAGAAGATAGTAGAAAATACAAGTTGGGGTAAATCCAAGACTGACGAGTTCTGTTAAGAAATGGAGGACTTCAAAGCAGACTTTTAATATAGATGGGTCTCACTTTGAATCAAGTGTTTGTACTTGGAAAGTGGTGCATAGATCGTATTACAGCCAATTTAATCTTATTTTCCCTTTAATTTAAATTATATTTCATAGATGATATATTACATCTTAATTTAAATATATTCACATATTTGTTTTAAATAGAATCTAACCTTGGTAAAATTGAGGAAAATTTTGTTGTCAGAGCTCTTGCTGCTTCTTTGTGGACCTTGTCTCTCTTTTTCTAGTTCTTCTGTTGTTATCTTTCTTATTATTTCAAAAGACCAAACTGATAATCTCAGAAAAGCAACCTTAAAAATTAGTTCAGACTAATGTGTTAATGATTTAGTTGCTCAGTCTTCCTGAAAACTATCTTCATTTTAAAAGTAGACTGTTAAGAGAATACATATTAATCCAAATGAACACATAGATAAATACACATAGAATGTGTAGTAATGAAATTTAACACAGAGGAATCTCCTTGGTAACGCCTGTTGATAATGTTGTACATGTAAAGTTGACTTTGTTACCTTCCTTCTTTTGGGAAGTCTGTACAATTTTCATCTGTGAAGACTCATTACTTCCCTTGTTCAAAGTCCCAAATGCTGCTGCATGACAAGCACCACCCCCTCATGATTTTTTGTTGAAACTTGCTTTATGAGTGTTATTCTGACCCCTGACCTTCCAAAGTATTAATTTCTTTTCTAGTGGTCTAGTGGCTGGTCAATTGATTAAAGCATAGCCAAAAGACAAGCTCCAGTGTTCCAATAATGAACAAATTATTAATAACTAATAAATTTACCATCTACCCTCCGTCCTCTGATTGTATTGAATCAATGATCTTTATAATAGAAATTTTAGGTCAGGATGAAGAAAAGTCAGGGGATGTGTTTAAGGAAAGTTCAATTTTATATTCTACGGATTCACGGCAATCCCTGACAAACTACCAGAATTATTTTTCACATGTCTGGAAAAGTTAATACTTACATTCATATGGAAGCAAAAAAGAGCTCAAATAACCAAAGCAATCCTAAGCAAAAAGAACAAAGTCAGAGGCACCACATTGCCAAGCTTCAAACTTTATTACAAGGCTACAGTAACCAAAGAAGCATGGTACTGGTACAAAAATAGACACATTGACCAATGGAACAGAATAGAGATCACAGAAATAAGATGGTTGACATATAACCAACTCATCTTTGACAAAGTCATCAAAAACAAACATTGGAGAAAGGACACTCCTGCTCAATAAATGGTGCTGGGAAAATTGGCCAACCATATGCAGAAGAATGATGCTGGACCTCCACTTATAACCATATACAAAAATTAACTCAAAATGGGTTAAAGACTTAAATGTAAGAACTCAAGCTAAAAATTCTAGAAGAAAATCTAGGAAAAACTCTTCCGGACATCAGCCTAGACAATGAATTCATGACCAAGTCTTCTAAAGCAAATACAGTAAAACTAAAATTGAAAAGTGGGACCTTATCAAATTAAAAAACTTCTGCAGAGCAAAACAAAACATCAACAAAGTAAAGAGACAACCCACAGAATGGGAGAAAATATTCGCAAACTATGCATCTAACAAATGTCTAATATCTAGAATCTACAAGGAACTGAGATGAATCAACAGGAAAGAAAATAAATAACCCTGTTAAAAAGTGAAAAACAGACACTTCTCAAAGAAAGACATACAAGTGGTCAACAATCATACGAAAAATGCTCTACATCACTAATCATCAGAGAAATGCAAATCAAAACTACAATGATATACTGCGGGGGTCCAGTCCCTGCCAAGGGTCGTGAGGTTTCCTGAAGGAGAGACGGATAGGCGAAAGATGAAAATATTATACTCGGACACCTGCTTCCTGAACAGATGCTGTTTAATGTTAGCTAAGGGAAGGCTTTTATACCATTTGTAAAGGGGCAAGACAAAGAAAATTCCTTCACGTACATATCCTCTAAAAGTTACCACCATCTAGTGGTCTTAGCAACAAACAAGCCAAGAACCCTATAAACATTCAGACAATGAGTCTTATTCATAAAGCCAAAAATGATAGTTTTAGTCCAAAGTCCCGAATTACAGTCCTTGAAATGTCTCAAGATAGTTTCCAAGTGTACATTTCTTCATGTGTCAGGAGTTTTCCCATCTGGGGCTTCTACGACCTTCAGAGCTTTGTAATTGCCTATCCTGTCCAGGTGTCTTCATTACTTTTCTCTTATCCTGCAGTGTTTATTTCTAAAGAGAACTCAAAAGAAGCTTTTAGGGATGTTTTCCCAGGCCCTCAAGGTTGCTCTATGTATTTAGTTAATTTACCATAAAAGTATCCAATTAGTATATTATGAATTCAGTGAAAACCCACTCTATAAACGTTAACTTAGAATTTTAACTATAGGATTAAGTAAAAACCTTAACAATTAATCTTTATCCTAAGTCTGTGAAAACAGTGTTATGAATCACCTACATAACTCCTAGATAAGTGCTGGAACTTATAATGAATTCATAGTGAACTTACTATAAACTTGTGCTTCTAAAAAACCTTATGTCTAAACACTAAACTGCATAATTCTAAATCAAATAAGGAGTGAATATACTTATATCATTTTTTACTCAAGCTATATCTAGTAACTTAAAACCAAGTGAAAGAAAGCATTCTTGATGTTCTTCAGAGTTTAACCCTTGCATATGTTAGAAAAGGCCAAACAGCATAGTGGGAAATGGAAAAATGAACCATGACATTTCCAGGTTAGCTGTGAGTACTTTGCATAAACATGCCATTTTCTTCTTCCACAACTGCACAGAATGTCTTCAGCCGTACCAACAGCAAAGATGAAAGACAGAAGGGCCTCAGCTGCCCGGACTCGCTTTGTGGCCAGGGGTCCTCAGCACACCTGGACTTTGTCAATCAGGTGGGCTTCCAAGGCTGGCTCCCAACAATGTACCATCTCACACCAGTCACATTGGCCATTATTAAAAATTCAAAACAACAATTATTGGCAAGGTTGCAGAGAAAAGAAAATACTTAAACACTGTTGGTGGGAAAACAAGCTAGTTCAACCCCTGTGGAAAGCAGTTTGGAGACTTCTCAAAATACAAATAGATTTACCATTTGAGCCAGCAATCTGACTACTTTAGGCATGTACCTAGAAGGAGCATGAATTGTTCTACCAACAATTCATGAACATGAATTGTTCTACCAAAAGACACCTGCTCGTATGTTCATCACAGCACTATTCACATGAAACCAACCTAGGTACCCATCAATGGTGGACCAGACAAAGAAAATAAGATACATATACACAATGGAATACTATGAAACCATAAAGGAGAATGAAATTATGTCCTTTGCAGCAACATAATAACTCTACTTGAGTTATTACAGAAACAGAACATTGAATACAACTTGTTCTCACTCAGAAGTGGGAGCTGAAAACTGGGCACACAGGGCATAAATAAAGAGAATAACAGACACAGGACTACAGAAGGGAGAAGGGAGGGTGGGAGGATAAGTATTGAAAACCACCAGCAGGTAGCATGCTCAACACCTGGGGAGGTGGGCTCAATAGAAACCCAAGCCTCACCATCATGCAATATACCCACCTAACAAATCTAAATCTCAGATTTAAAGATGCCTAAATAGTGAAATAGCTCTACAAGGGGAGGGACCCAAATAAATCTCTAATTTATTTATTAAAAATTGTATACTTATTCTTACTTGATTAAACTTCAGTCACCTTCAACGTGCTCTCTGCTTGATGCAATATACCTATGGAGACGCTTTTTCCACTGCTCAAAACAGTTTTTGAACTCATCAATTTTGAAGCCTTTTAGTGCTTCTGCAGTTTTTTTTTTTCACCTCTTACACATTGGCAAACATTTCCCCTTGAGGACTTTTTCATCCAAGGAAACAACCACCAAAAAAAGTCTCTCCGGGTGAGATCCGGTAAATAGGGAGGATGGGAAATGAGGATCATGCTGTTTTGGTCAAAAACTGCTGAAAACTCCGCATGGTGTGGGTATGTGCACTCATAAATCACCCATATCGTGAAACAGGTAAATGCACTGAAAGACTCTCCAAAAAAATTAGCTGAAGCTGAACACAGATTGTCACAACAAGGCTAGCTAGTACACCGATGCCAATTCCTAGAACACTTACCTAGCAGGGGAAGCCTATATACTTACTACAATGGCTCCACCCTACAAAAAATCATTCCGGTTTTTGAGGAGTCTCCCCTCTTATGTTGATGAATAATTTTCTTTATCAATATGCTTATTAAAAATCTATGTATATTGTCTTCTGAGCTAGTTTATAGGGTACTTTGGATTTCTAAATTTGAAGATGATTGTATTTTCACCATCTATTACAGAGTATACACACGGCCTCCCTTCCTTGTACTGACTGTCATGAATGCAGTATGTATTCTTCTGCAAAAGAAACCTAACTGGACAACAGCAAAGTTACTTCTTTCAGAAACTGGTTTCCTAAAAAAATTGATTAACCTTGACAAGGACAGTATACCTGATAAGGTAAAAATTGATTTTTAATTAATATATAATTGATGCATCCCATAATTATAATCTTTGGAGTCAAATCAACCACCTGCCTTTTAAATTGTTCCCAAAAATAGTTCTATTTTTCCAGGCAAGATAGGAGATTCCTGGTTGGAAAAGGAAACTCAGTTTGAGAAAAAGTTCAGCTCCCAAAAGTAGATAAGAAATTAATAGCTCCCAAAATAGATAAGAAAACTGTATATATAACTCTAAACTGAATGGTGGCATTTAAATGAGACGGATCTGTGAACATGTGACATGGCTAAGCTAAAGAGTGTCTTCAGTGAGCCCTAGTGTGTTCCAAGCCATACCACCATCATTGACTAGACAGCCCTTTTAATAAGGACTCTACCCGCTGCTAGTATGCCACCTGGGGGACAGAAGAGCATGGTATTTCTAGTCTCCTCAGACTTCATGTGCACAAGGAGACTTCAGACCTTTTTAGACACCAAATTCCCAAAGCTGGAGAAAGCTAACCAGTTTCATTTTGTTTTAAAAAAGGAGTTTCTTTGTTAAAACTATAGCCAAGCCACAACAATAACAATAGCAATAGCAGAATGTTTATAAGAGAGGCTTTCCTATTAGCAGGGGCATGTTTGTACCCAAGTATGTGTCTTGGATTCTTCTGTTGCATGGAAGTTGAATTTTTTTATTTTTAATGTTTTGTTTTAGATTCAGGGGCACACATGCATATTTACTACATGAACATATTGTGTAAGAAAAGTTGAATATTTTTATATGAAATAAAATTTCAGTCTCATGTAGATGGGGAAAACTTCAGACCAATAATATTTCTTTCTCATGTAATTCATGAACTGTGTTCTCCATAGGTTTTCATGAAGTTGAAAAAAATTTTAATGTTACCTGATTTCCACCCAAACAAAATTGCTCTGGTTTCTGTTGCTTGTTGCTCTATGTGCCAATGGGTTATAGCTTTGAATAATTACCATGAAGTACAGAAGGTATGCTTTTTTCTCCAAAATATCTGTAATGATTTGGATGTAACATGTCAAAGTCCTAGAACTAATTTTTATTTAACAGCAGTCAAATGAACTTCTGTGGAAAGAATACTTAAAGAAAAACACTTTAATCAAATATATTATGCTAACTTACACAAATGTCAAGTGCTCCTATTAAATTTTTTAAAATTTATGACAACTATGCAATTATTGCTTGTTTTAATATGTTTCTGCATAATAAGCTGCTTTATAACTCACATGTACACATAATTCTAAGAAAGTTTATTTTAATGGTTGACATCTATAAACGTCTTTTAAGCATAAGTGTCATTTTTAACAGTAAACCTGACTTTTTTTGACACTTAAATGTTCTAACATTCTCTTTTAGGTGGTGGGCCCTAAGCAAATCCAAGTAGCAGAAGCTCAGAATGTCCTTAAAATTGCTCGAAAAAGATTGGCTGAAAAGCAAAGAGGTTTACACCTGGTAAGAAATATTTACTTGTTAAATTCCCAATACCTTTGCAAGCAAAACAAAAACATTAGGAAAAAGTAATTATCTCACTCAGTAGTGTTAATTATTATTGTCTTAATAATATTTCCATTTACCATTTCACCAAATTTCTCTCAGGAGATCTTTATAAGTTCAGTCTACCAAAGACAAAGTGTATCCATCTATTCTTTAAAAACTATACTTAACCCATTTATAGCAATTACATCTTTGCTTTGCAAAAGCATGGTTATTCCTTAAATGTCTTAGTTTTAAATTGACATAGTTGTTCGTCATTATGAGAGCTGGAACTAGAATTGAATCTTTGTCACCTATTTAGCTGACATACATTTTGAGATTGGGTAAAGTAATATACTTCAGAGATGGCAAACTAGCAGGCAAATTCAGCCCCTTGACATATTTTGGCCTATACAGTCTCTCCACTCACCCCACTTTGATGCAATCAACATTTTAAAATCTGGGAATTTCATTTACAATATGACTTTCTATCTTTTCTTGAAAATTCGGAAGATCTGGCAACCCTAAGCTAGCATTCTCATTTGGCTATAATCAGTCCCCAACCCACTACAAGCATTTATGTAATTAAAAATATATAGATTTCTGCTATAAAACACTGCTGAAAGAAACTGAAGAGAACACACACAAAAAATGGAAAGGTACCCCATGCTGATGGATTAGAAGAATTAACATTGTTAAAATGACCATACTATCCAAAGCACTATACAGAGTCAATGCAATCTCTATCAAAATATCAATGACATTCTTCACAGAAAAAAAAAACCCTGATATTTATATGGAACCACGAAAGACCCTGAATAACCCAAGCCATCTTGGGCAAAAAGAATTAAGCTGGAGGCATTACACTATCACACTTCAAAATATACTACAAAGCTGTAGTAACCAAAACAGCATGGTATTGGTATAAAAACAGCCACATAAACCAATGGAACAGAGTAGAGAACTCAGAAATAAATTATATTTACAGTCAACTGACTTTGGACAAGGGCACCAAGAATATACATTCAAGAAAAAACATCCTCTTCAAATAAATAGTGCTGGGAAAACTGGCTATCTGTATGCAGAAAAATGAAATTAGACCTTTATCTCTCACCATATACAAATATCTACTCAAAATGTATTGAAGACTTAAATGTAAAACTTGAAACTATAATACTACTAGAAGAAAGTATAGGAGAAGTGCTTCAGGAGACATTAATCCAGGCAAAGACTTTATGAGTAACTTCAAAAGCACAGGCATCTGGATTCAGGACTAGACCTACTAAAAAAGCATAGGCAACAAACACAAAAACTGGACTACATCAAACTTAAACCCTGTTGTTGTAAATTCCTGTGCACAGCAAAGGAAACAATCAACAGAGTGAAGAGACAACCTGTAGAATAAGAGAAAATATTTGAAACTGTTCATCTGACAAGGGACTATTATCTAAAATATAAAAGGAACTGAAATAACTCAATAGCAAAAAAAATGCTAATAATCCCATTTTTAAATGGGTAAAGGATCTGAATGAAAATTTATCCAAAGAAAACATGCAAATGGCCATCAAGAACGTGGAAAATGCTGAACATCACTAATCATCAGGGAAAGGCAAATCAAAACTACAGTGCAATATTAATATCATCTTACCCTATTTATAATGGCTATCATCAAAAAGACAAAAAAGCAAATGCTGTCAAGGATGTAGAGAAAGTGGAATTTTTTGCACTGTTGATGGGAATGTATACTAGCACAGTTATTATGAAAAACAGTATGAAGGTTTCTCAAAAACCAAAAATAGAACTGCCATACAATCCAACAATTTCACTACTAGGAAAGGAAATCGGTATACAGAAGAGGTAGCTGCACCCCCATTTTTATTGCAGCTCTAGTCACAATACCCAGTACATGGACTCAACCTAAAAGTCCATCAAGAGAAGAATAAATGAAGAAAATGTGGTGCATATATACACAATGGAATACTAGTCAGCCATAAAAAAGAATAAAATCCTGTCATTTGTGGCAATGTGGATGAGCCTAGAAGACATTATATTAAGTGAAATACTGTATATTCTCACTTATGTGAGAGCTAAAAAAAATGAGCTTATCAAAGTGGAGAGTAGAATTGTAGTTATTAGAGGCTGGGAAGGATAAAAGGAAGGGAAGATAGGAAGAGTTTCATTAATGGAAACAAAGTTGCAGCTAGATGGGAGGAATAAATTCTAATGTTCTGTAACATTGTAGGGTGAATATGGTTACCAGTAATTTGGTGCATATTTTTTAAAAGCTAGAAAAGAGGATTTTGAATGTTCATAGCACAAAAAAAATGATAAATGTTTGAGGTAAGCCGGGCTCAGTGGCTCAGCCTGTAATCCCACGCTTTGGGAGGCTGAGGTGAGTGGATTGCCTGAGCCCGTGGGTTCAAGACCCGCCTGGGCAGCTTGGCAAGACCTCATGTCTACAATAAATCAAAAAACTAGCTGGGGGTGTGGTAGCACGCACCTGTAGTTCCAGCTACTTGGAAGGCTGAGGCGGAAGGATCACCAGAGCCCAGCAGATCGAGGCTGCAGTGGCCAGGAGCGGCCACTGCACTCCAGTCTGGGTGACAGAATGAGATTCCAACTCAAAAAAAAAAAAAAAATGTTTGAGGTGATGAATATGCTAAATTACCCTGATTTTTATCATGACATGTTGTATACATGTACTAAAATATCATTCTGTATTCCATAAATATTTACTATTATTACATGTCAACTAATAATAAAAGAAAAAAGATGCAAATAACTTAATTAAAATCAGAAATAAAAGTGAGGACATAAGAGAGTACTGTGAACAATCATACATCAACAAATTAAATAACCCAAAAGAGGCGGAAAAATTCCTTGAAACACACGAATTATCTAAATTGACTCAAGAAGCAAAAGAAAACCTTGACAGACCTGTAACAAGTAAAGAGATTGAACTGGTAATCAAAACCCTCTCAACAAAGAAGTCATGCACCATATGGCTTTCCCAGTGAATTCTACTAAACATTTAAATTAACATCACTCTTTCTCAAATTCTTCCCAAAAATTGGAGAGGAGGGGATACTTCTGTTTTAGTTCATTTAAGCTGCTATAACGAAAAAACATAAAGCAGTGGTTTATAAACAACAGAAATTTACTTTTTACAGTTCTAAAAACAGGGAGGTCCAAGATCAAGGTGTTGGAAGATTCAGTATCTATTGAAGTTTCACTTCCTGGTTCATAGATGTCCTTACATGCCAGAAAGAACAAAAGAGCTCTCTTGGGACTCTTTTATAAGTGTCCTAATCCAATTTAAGAGGGCTCTGCCCCAATGGTTTAATTACTTTTCAAATGCTCCACCTTCAAATATCATCATATTAGGGGTTAGGATTTTAACATGTAAATTTTGGGAGGACACAAGCAGTCTATAGAATTTGCTTATTACCTAGAAAACTTGAGTGAATTAAAGCACTACCATAAGCAATAAGAGATTTTGCTTTGAAAGGTGTACACTTTCAAAGTTAAGATTCAATAAATGTTCTATACACAGACACCAGTAAGAAAATGCAATGAAAGAAAATATTACATCTATAATAGTAAACAAAAATTTAAAGTATCTAGAAATAAACTATATTACAAAATGTGCAGTATGGATATCAAGCAAACTTTAAAGCGTTAGCAAATAAAAGATGTTTTTTAATAAAACACTATTCTAAAGGTGCAATTTTCCTAAATTAATCCATGAACTCATTGAGATTATAATTAAAATGCCAACAGATTCTTTTAGGAACATTTCAAAATAATACTATAAACATAATAATAAATTTAATAAAAACTACAAAGTACAAAATAAAGCACACAGACAAAAAATAAACTTGGGAAATATTTGCAATGCATACATCACTTATACTTTTATAATTTGTAAAATACTCAAACAAAAAATGAAGAGCTCAGCAGAAAAAAAATCATCAGAGAATACAAATAGGTAGTTCACAGCCAGAGAGGAAGCTTGCCTAATAGATGTGGCAGTTGTGCGTAGGACCATACTGCACTACACTGGCTCCTGGATTTAAGCTTATACTGTAAGCCCCAGCCACTGTGTTTTACAACAGCAATAATAACTACCATAATAACAAATAACTTCCTGAACACTTAAAATGTGCCAGGAACTATTCTAAGCATTTTACATACATTAGTCAATTTAATCCTCACACCAATTCTGAAATAAGTATTATCGTAACCCCTATTTAGAAAGCACAGACTTATCATGCAGCCGGTGAGTGGCAGTGTACATGCAGTCTTACTATTTATCCCCTACTCCAAGGGTAGCAGGAGTCCACTCAGATTCTTCCAAAGACAGACTGATGACATTCAGTAGTTTTCTGAACCAATTTCTAAGTAAAGAGCCCACACACTGTTGAAGTACAAAACTCATGCCTACAATCTGAGTCAAAAATCTTGATGTGTGATCACAAAACACTACCCCTGCTAAATTTGGGGGAGACTGGAAGACATACTGAGTAGCTGATATTGCCCGTTACGGTCTGCTCCAGTCTCCTCTGGTCCATGATCTCTCCCATTTGGATACTCACAACCCAGCCTCACTTGGAAAAGTAACACTTTGTGTGTACTTCATCCGGCAGCTTTGGTAGCATGGCCTAAAAACACCAACCAAGTAGCTTGCCTACTTGGAGCTATTTTCAGACTAGAAAGCAGGGGAATACCTTCTCTGGCAACAGGATAGCAAGAAGGCAGTTATTTCCAGGGCCTGATACCTGTCGAGAAGTAGGTGAAATTTCTCTAAGTCAGAAGCCAGATATGTGGCAAAAATTCATCAGTACCTCCATTTCTACCTCCACTCAGGTGCTATTTCCTTGAGAAAGCCAGTGCTCTCTACAGAGAATAGAATGTTCTATGTATACCAAGACTATGAACAAGTCCTTTGTGTATTCCCTTTTCAAGTCCAAAACTCATAT